TCGTTTGATTAATAATGAAGATAAGCACTATTTCCACGTTATGTTGACAGAAATGGCCAGTAAATATAAATCTTTATTTAGATGTTTTGTTGTTCTTTTTTGGAGACAGAATCTCACTTTGTCACCTTTAGTAGAGTGCTGTTGTGTGACAGCTCACAGCAACCTCCAACTCCTGGGCTCAAGCGAGTCTCTTGCCTCCGCCTCCCAAGTAGCTGGGACCACAGGCGCCCACCACACCGCCCGGCCAATTTTTTGGTTGTAGCCATCATTGTTGTTTGGCGGGCCCAGGCTGGGGATTCGAACCTGCCACCTTAGGTGTATGTGGCTGGTGCCTTAGCCGATTGAGCCACAGAAGCCGAGCCTAGGCATTTATTTATTATCCTCCCCTGCTGCCTTTCTATTCCTATTTTTTTAATAATTTTTGAGCTTAAAAATTCAGGTTCCCTGGGTGGTGCCACCTCCGGTATATAGGGCACTGGCCCCATATACCAGAGGTGGCGGGTTCAAACCCAAACCCAGCCAAAAAAAAAATTCAGGATCCCATTTTACCTCTTGCAGTGACAGACACATTATAAAGTATCCAAGAAATTCCAATTTTATATATCTTTCTCCTCGTCCCCACATTTCATCAAAACATCCTGGAAATTCCCTTTCTTCTACAAATATTAGCTGAAAATAATTAAAACAAAGCATTTCAAGAAACATATGTCAAACACACATAAACACAACCAACATGAGGTGAAGAAAACAAATATAACATCATTATCTCTAGAAATACTCTAGTATCCCAAGGCAACAAGGACAGTGCCTGCTGTGTCGTACAGCACACACCCTGCTGAGTGTGCCTGTGTATCTAGTAGACACTCTCCCTGCTCCAGCCTATACAGTGTGAGGAGCCCCATAGGGGTAGCCCTCATGGAGAAGGAACATTTCTGGGTATTCCCATACATCACTGCTTTCATTATGACTTGAAATTATTAGAACTGTGTTTATAAGAACAATTTATATTAATAAAAAGTGTACTCAGAAAATTTTGAGTAGAAGCCACAAGGGCCAGGGGAATTTGATGAGAACTGAATATTGGGGAAGGATGAGCATCAGATTGGTGTTTTGAAAACAATATAAGCATCAGAAGAAGTTGCAAGGTAAGTAAATAGATATACTGTAATGTGCATATGTATATATGTACTTTTTTAATGTGACACTTCTCAACATATTGCAACCCATGGAATAATGAGATGAACATTGCTTATATGGTGAAGTCTGACATCACTTCACATGCCCAGTTAAGGAAACATCACAAAACAGAGGAAAATGTTTTTGTCAGATAATGTATAACAATTTTCCTGTTAAAAAGGAAGTCACTATTATTAAATGTGTATATCCGTTGGGAAAGCATTCATTTCTAGTAATATGGAAGTGAAGGTGGATTTAAGGATTTCACTATTTACTTAAGCTATTGCCAGAGATTCCACAAATGTAGACTTTCCTATTTTCTTTCTTTCTTTAAAAACAGGTATCCTCCAATGTGATCCAGGAACAATAAGAGAAGAAATTCAGATATTTAGACTCTTCTGCCATGAATGTCAAAGAGTCTTCCATGATCGTTTGATTAATAATGAAGATAAGCACTATTTCCACGTTATGTTGACAGAAATGGCCAGTAAATATAAATCTTTATTTAGATGTTTTGTTGT